AACCCTTGGGGGACCCAGTGCTGGGAGGGGACCCTGAATGGTCACTGAACTGCCGTAGGCTCAGTGCAGACAGGCCTGAGAGCGACAAACTCCAGGGGACCTGGATATCAGGGGTTTTCACAAGTTTGTAGGTTTTACCCCCGAGACCTCTACCAGGGTCCTACAGTGAATATTAAAGAAAAATCCTCTCTGACTTGCCACAGGGGAAGGGAAAGGAACCCACCCTCAAAAGAAACCACTTAACCAGGGAGTTTTATCAGCACCTATAACTGACCTGGGGGGAAGGGAAGCCTGAGCTCCAGCTGGCTCAAGGTCACCCAGTTCCACCTAGGGGAGGGGTGGTGGAACTCAGATATCCAGGTGAAGATGTCAGTCCAGAGCCAGACTGAGAGCTGACCACAGGACTGGAGAAGGTGTCCCCCTCCCCCACGCCTTCAACACATCACGAAAGGACTAGCAACAGTTCTTCCTTTTCCCCAGGACATCTATCTGGCTAGCAAAAAAATATAACATTCTAAGGCCAAAGCAGACTCAAGTACGGTGGGGCTATGGGAAGGATCAACTGTGATGAACACCCTAAGAGCTTTCACAGACCAAACAGACAACATGAGAGCAGCTGGGCCAGGTGTGGGGCTCTCACCTAATCCCAGCACTTTGGGAGGCCCAGGTGGGAGGATCGCTTCAGCCCAGGAGACTGAAGCTGTGGTGAGCTGAGATCGTGCCACTGCACTCCAGCTTGGGCAACAGAGAGAGATTCATATATAGAATCATATAAAATATAATTAAACAACAAAAGGCAGAAAAAGACTAGAAGACAAAACCACAAAATATAGAAAAAGACTGAAACACAAAAATAGGAACAAAAAACAAGAGTAACAAATACAAAACAGTAATAAATGCTGTAGATATTAAGCCATCTTAAGTCAGAAACTACTTTGACATTAGCAGCCTAAAAGGATCAAAAGTCAAAAATTGACAGTGATTCAAAAAAACAAGACCCAACTATGTGTTGTCTACAAGAAATCTACTTTCGTTGGGCGTGATGGCACACACCGGTAATCCCAGCACTTTGGGAGATGGAGGTGAGAGGATTGCCTGAGTCCAGGGATTTGAGACCAGCCTGGGCAACTCGGCGAGACCTCATCTCTAAATAAATATTTTTAAAAATTAGCCGTAGCCGGGCTCGGTGGCTCAGCCTGTAATCCCGCGCCTTTGGGAGGCTGAGCTGAGTGGATTGCCTGAGCCCGCGGGTTCGAGACCCGCCTGGGCAGCGAGACCTCATCTCAACAATAAATCAAAAAATCAGCTGGGCGTGGTAGCACATGCCTGTAATTCCGGCTACTCGGAAGGCTGAGGAGGAAGGATAGCCGGAGCCCAGCAGGTCAAGGCTGCGGTGGCCGGGAGCGGCCACTGCACTCCAGTCTGGGCAACAGAGTGAGACTCCAACTCAAAAAGAAAAAAAAAAAAAAATTAGCCGTATGTGGTGGTGCACACCTGTGGTTTCATCTACTTGGAAGGTTGAGGCAGAAGGGTCACCTGTCCCCAGGAGGTCAAGACTGCAGTGGCCATAAGAGTATGCCACTGCACTCCAGCCTGGGTGACAGTGAGACTCCAACCCAAAAAAAAAACCCTACTTTAAATATAAAGATACATATAAGCATGGGAATCGCTTGAAGCTAAGAGTTCAAAACCAGCTTGGACAATAGAGCAAGATCCTATCTCAAAAAGAACAACAGAAAAAGTATTTAAAAAACTTAAAAGGCCAGGCGTGGTGGCTCAAGACTGTAACCCCAGCACTTTGGGAGGCCGAGGTAAGAGGACTGCCTGAGTCCACGGGTTTGAGACCCACCTGTGCAACTTGGTGAGACCCCCCCATCTGTACAATATATCAAAAAATTAGCCAGGCATGGTGGCATGTGCCTATAGTTCCAGTTACTTGGAAGGCTGAGGAGGAAGGATCGCCTGAACCCAGCAGGTTGAGGCTGCAGGCGCCGTGAGCGTGCCACTGCACTCCAGCCTGGGTGACACAGTGAGACTCCAACTCAAACATAAATAAATAAATAGATAGATAGAAAAAGTGGTCAGGCATGGTGGTGCACATCTGTAGTCCCAGCTACTCGGGAGGCTGAGGCGGGAGGATCGCTTGAGCCCAGGAATTGTGATCACACCACTGCACTCCAGCCTGGGCAACAGAGTAAGACAGTGTTTCCAAGAAAACAAAGCAAAACAACAACAACCAAAATGATGTACTGATACATCTTACAGCATGAATGAATCCTATGTAAAAGAAGCCAGACCCAAAAGGTCACACAGCACATAATTCCACTTACATGAAATGTCCAGAAGAGGCAATTCTACAGAGAGAAAGTAGATGAGAGATTGTCAGGAGCTGGAGGAGGGGAATGACCGGTGACAACATGGGTGGGGTTTCCTCGTGGGGTCATAAAATGGCTGGGATGATGGCTATACAGCTCTGTGATACATTAAAAGCTACTCAACTATACAACTTACACTGGTGAACTATATACTATGTGAACCATATCTCAATGAAGTTGTTTGAAAAAAGCCCCAGTAAATAAAATAAGGGCTGGGTTCAGTGGCTCAGCCTGTAATCTCAGCACTTTGGGAGGCTGAGATGAGTGGATTACCTGAGCTTTCAGGTTTGAGACCAGCCCGAGCAACTTGGCGAGACCTTGTCTTTACAATAAATTTTTTTAAAAATTAGCCGGGCATGGTAGCACGCACCTGTAGTTCCAGCTACTTGGAAGGCTGAGGCAAGATCGCCGGAGCCCAGCAGGTCGAGGCTGCGGTGGCTGGGAGTGTGCCACTGCCCTCCAGCCTGGGTGATGGAGTGAGACTCCAATTCAAAAAACAAAAAAATAAAATAAAATAAAATGAAGTAAGGAAAAAAACATATCACTCAATGTTCCCTGATGGGGAGGGCAGGTCCTTATTATAATGTGAACACACATATTTAAAGCCTGGCTAAAATCTAAATCTCACCATTATGCTAATTAAAAATAGTTTTTGTTTGTTTTGTTTTTTTTGTATTGGAGCCTCACTCTGTCACCTACACAGTAGTGCAGTGGGATTATCATGGCTCACTGTAGCCTCAAACTTCTGGGCCCCAGTTATCCTCCTGTCTTGGTCTCCCAAGTAGCTGGGATAGGTGCATGCCACCATACCCACCTAATTTTTTTAATTTTTTAATTTTTTTGTAGAGATGAATTATTGCTATGTTGCCCAGGCTAGTCTCAAGCTCCTGGCCTCAAGCAATCCTCCTGCCTCCCAAAGTGCTGGGATGACAGGTGTGAGCCACTGCCCCCAGCCTGTTTGTTTTTTGAGACAGTTTCACTTTGCTGCCTGGGCTGGAGTGCAGTGACATGATGATGGTTCACTGCAGCTTCAAACTCCTGGAATCAAGGGGTCCTCTCTTCTCAGCCTTCCCAGTAACTAGGACTACAGGCAGGTGCCACCATGCTTGGGTAACTTTTTTTTTTTAAGTTTTAAAACAGTTTATTAGCAAGAAGAAGAGAAGGAAGATTCATGGCAGAAAGGCCTTCCATGGGCAAGTTTCTCAGGAAAATTGCCAGTTTTTAAACTTTTTATTAGAGATGGAGTCTCAATATGTTGCCCAGGCTGGTCTCAAACTCCTGGCCTCAAGTGATCCTCCCACCTCAGCCTCCCAAAGCACTGGGATGACAGGTGTGAGCCACTGCTCCCAGACAAGGATAGTTTTTACTTATTGAAGCCTAACTAAATCCCTGAAATGTACCATGTGAGGTGGGGTAGGCTAATACTAAATCCCAATTTATTTAGATCTGCCCAATAGGGAAGAATTAAAACAATTAAACCAAGAGTCCCAGGCTGCGCCCCCAAGGTGCTCTGGCTAAGGACAATGAGCCTTGCAAACCTGGGCTTTATGACAAACATGCAGAAGGTGAAATGCTCATCAGTGGCTCCCCAAGAGTGAGGGCTGGGGGTGAGACCTGGGTTAGGGAGAATGGGAGAATGTTCTTCCAAGAGTTCCTAGCCAGCCAGGCATGGTGACTAATGCCTGTAATCCCAGTACTGTGGGAGGTGAGAGAGGATTGCCTGAGCCCATGGGTTCGAGACCAGCCTGAGTAACTTGGTAAGACCTCATCTCTATAATAAATCAAAATGCTCTTGGAAGGCTGAGCCAGAAGGATTGCCTTAGCCCAGCAGGTTGAGGCTGTGGAGGCCATGGGAGTGTTACTGCACTGCAGCCTGGGTGACAGAGTGAAACTCCAACTCAAAAAAAAAAAAGAAACAAAGCAGATTTGGCCAAGCACAGTGGCTCACGCCTGTAATCCCAGGGTTTTGGATTGCTTGAGCCTAGAAGTTCAAGACCAGCCTGGCCAACATAGTGAGACCTCATCTCTACAAAAAGTGAGAAAGATTAGCTAGGTGTGGTGGCGTATGCCTATAGTCCCAGCTACTGAGGCAGAAGGAAGGATCGTCTGAGTCCAGGAGGTTGAGGATGTGACTTTGACTCGAAAAACAAACAACAAAAATTCAGAAGTAAAGCAGATTCATAAAATAGTTAACTTAAAGGGTACCAGGTATGATATAAAGAACTCCCCACTTGATAGAGTAACTTTAGAGTTTATACAGGGAAGAAACTTCCCTAATAGATGTAATAGACAGATTTAATTTAGGAGACCTGACCACGGACCTTCCCCAGAAAGCAGTCCACCTTGTGAGGGGGGTAGTCATATGCTAACCATCCTTGCTGTCAACAAATTGTCTCTCCCCAGGGAGCACAGCAAAACAAGGCCCACAAAGGCAGCTGCAGGACCAAGACTCCCTCTGCCCACATGGAATCCAGACCTAGATAAGAATTCCGGCTGAAGACACCTACCTTCTAGAAACTGAAGGCAGAGATGAGATGGCTTAACGCCCAATGCCAGAGAGATACAGGGAGAGAGAGAGAGAGAGAGATAGATGCAGCATGGAATCCGAGAGGGCTCAGGCCTCACCTCGGGTATCAGCCGCCTTCTCTTCACGCTGGGGACTGGGTCCAGCTGCCCATCGCTGCCCGGCTGCTTCCGTTTGCTGGAGTCCTGGATGGCGGCAAAGGCGCTGTCCAGAGGGTGCTTCTCAGAGGTCCTGGCGTTTACTGAGCAGTCCAGGGCAGCATCTTCAGCCTCAGTCTCCACCTTCACAGTGTTGTTTTTGAGAACTGTGGCAGAAAAGGAGCAGGCTCAGTGGGACAGCAGCAGGGTTCTCTCAGCAACAGGGTGCTGTGAGCTGCCCTGGACACTGACACTCAATGACGAGATCGAGTCATAACAAACCTGGGCTCTCCAGCAATGCAGCTGTAATCTTACTGCACTGGCGCTATACAATCAAATCAGGTTCTGGGTTGAGCACGGCAGCTCATACCTGTAATCCCAGCACTTTGGGAGGCTGAGGTGGGAGGATTGCTTGAGCCTAGGATTTCAAGACCAGCCTGGGCAACATAGTGAGACCTCATCTCTATTAAAAAAAAAAATAGGCCAGGCATGGTAGTGGCTCATACCTGTAATCCCAGCACTTTGAGAGGTAGAGGCAAGACGATTGCCTGAGTTCATGGGTTAGACAACAGCCTGAGCAATTTGGCAAGACCTCGTCTATACAATAAATCAAAAAATTAGTCAGGCATGGTGGTGCGTGCCTGTAGTTCGAGCTACCTGGAAGGTTGGGGTGGAAGGATTGCATGAACCCAGCAGGTCGAGGCTGCAGTGACCGTGAGCATGCCACTGCACTCCATCCTGGATGACAGAGTGAGACTCTGACTCAAAGATTTTTTTTTTTTTAATTAAATTATTCGAGACCCACCTGGGCAACTTGGTGAGACCTCATCTCTACAATAAATCAAAAATTAGCCGGGCGTGGTAGCGTGCGCTTGTAGTTCCAGCTACTTGGAAGACTGAGGCGGAGGGATCGCCGGAGCCCAGCAGGTCGAAGCTGCAGTGGCCGGGAGTGGCCACTGCACTCCAGTCTGGGTGACAGAATGAGACTCCAATTCAAAAAAAAAAAAAATTAAATTAAAAAAAACAGGTTCTAAGGGCATTTAGTTCAAAATCTGTTTAAAATCTTTTTGAGGGTGAAGAAGATGGAGGGAGACAAATACCATCTTTTTGTGCTTTTAAAAAGTAACTCTTGACTGGGTACGGTGGCTCACACCTGTAATCTCAGCAGTTTGGGAAGCTGAGGCAGAAGGATCACCTGAGCTAAGGAGTTCAAGACCTGGGTAACAGAGTGAGACCTCAGTTCCAGGAACATAAACATAAAAAATTAGCGTGGTAGTGGTGCGAACCTGTATAGTCCCAGCTACTCAGGAAGCTAAGGCAGAAGTATAGCCTGAGCCTACCCTTCCCAGGTAGGGACCACAGTGAGTCGTAATCATGCCACTGTATCCCAGCACGGGAGACAGAGTGAGACCCTGACTCAAAAAAGTGACTCTTTAGCAGGTGAGTGGGTGGAGGGGAATGGGAACCGGGGGTGGGAGGAGACTTTTCATCATGTCCATTGTTCCAGTTTGGGGCCATGTGAATGTATAACCTAATCAAAAATGCTAAAAACGTTTCTTAAACCAGGCACTTTTTTTTACCTTCTTCTTCTTCTACATCTTCACTGAATTCAGTTGAGTTCATCTTCTATTCCACTAAATGGGAAGACAAAAACAAAGTTGTGATTTATCGCTTGACTTCTTTCTCAATGCTACCTTCCCACAGAGAACTCCCTCACACTCCCAGTCCCAGCTCCACAAGTGAAGTTAAAGGCCATGTAGCATCGTGGAAGGGTGTGTCCTCGCCATCATGTCTGCAGGCGCACAGGAGCAGCAATCGTGTGTCCTGCTGGAAGCCCTTTGCCAAGACTTTATGTGAAAAAGATGTGTCTTTAAGCATCCATGGAGAGCCACTCACTGTGCCAGGGGAGCATTACTCGAACAAATCAAGTCTTAAAAAAGACCCCGCCGGGTGCAGTGGCTCAAGCCTATAATCCCAGCACTTTGGGAGGTGGAGGTGAGAGGATTGCCTGAGCTCATGGGTTTGAGACCAGCCTGGACAACTTAGTAAGACTTAATCTCTACAATAAACCAAAAAATTAGCAAGGTGTGGTGGCGCATGTCTGTGGTTCCAGCTACTTGGAAGGCTGAGGCAGAAGGATCACCTGAGTCCAATAGGTTGAAGCTGCAGTGGCCATGAGCGTGTCACTGCACTCCAGCCTGGGCGACAGAGTGAGATTCCAACTTTAAAAAAAAAAAAAGCCGGGTTCGGTGGCTCAGCCTATAATCCCGTGCCTTTGGGAGGCTGAGGTGAGCGGATTGCCTGAGCCTGCGGGTTCGAGACCCGCCTGGGCAGCGAGACCTCATCTCTACAATAAATCAAAAAATCAGCCAGGCGTGGTAGCGCATGCCTGTAATTCCGGCTACTCGGAAGGCTGAGGCGGAAGGATCACCGGAGCCCAGCAGGTCGAGGCTGCGGTGGCCGGGAGCGGCCACTGCACTCCAGTCTGGGCGACCGAGTGAGACCCCAACTCAAAAAAAAAAAAAAAAGACCCCAATTTTGGCTGGGTGTGGTGGCTCATGCCTGTAATCCCACATCGCTTGAGTCCAGGAGTTTGACACCCGCCTGGGTAACATAGTGAGACCCTGTCTCTACAAAAATACAAAACGGGCTGTGCACAGTGGCTCAGGTCTCTAATTCCAGCACTTTGGGAGGCCAGGGCGAGAGGATGGTCTGAGTCCAGGGGTTCGAGACCAACGGGGACAACTTGGTGAGACCTCATCTCTACAATAAATAAAAAAATTCCTCCACGCCCCCGCTGACTGCCATGCTCTGCTTGAGCCAGGCTCGGTGGCTCAGCCTATAACCCCGCACTTTGGGAGGCTGAGGTGAGTGGATTGCCTGAGCCCAGGGTTCGAGACCCGTTTGGGCAACTTGGTGAGACCTCATCCCTACAATAAATCAAAAAATCAGCTGGGCATGGTAGCGCATGCCTGTAATTCCAACTACTC